AATGGGCGGAACAACTTTTCAAAGAATGCTAGGCAATAGACAATCAGCACCATCAGCACCAACACAAGCACCACCAACAAGAGCAAACGATATTCAATCAATGGCATTAGAAGATGTAGATGAAAGTTTTTATGGAACAGCACCACCTATTCAACAAGCATCGGGGGCGTCATCACAGCAACCACCGCCATTACCATTATATCCAGTATTCAAAACAAGAATAGATAATAATATGAGTCCTGCTTCCTGGAAAAACAACCCTAATTTAACAGTAAATGATATTAAATTTCAATTTTATTTAAGAGGAATTCAAGTGCCAGAAGAAAGCGAAATACAAGAAGAGTTGAAACACAAAGGCAGAGACAAGGCGAGAACATACAAAGAATATTTAGTAGATATGATTTTAGACACAATTGATAACGGTGGTTGGATAGCAAATTTAGGCAAAGGTAGAATAGAAGAACTCAGAACAAGTTTTAAGGGTAAAGGTACGAAATAATATATAAATAACTATAATGATAATATTAACTAAAAATATACTGAAAAGAAAGAAGCAGAAATTCAATGATAAATATGATGACGACAGTTTTTCAATACATAACCTAATGAAACCAAACACTTCAACAACAACACAACCACCGAAAATTATGAAACAGGGCATGCCGAGAGAATTTATTGACATTGCAACCAACACAGATACAATCGCCACAGAAACCAGAGAGACTCAAGAAAAGTTGTACAATGATGCAAACCAACCATTAAATATGACATTTGAAGTGTTTAAGGTAAAGGAAAACCAAGACAATATGCTTAAAATAATGCTTAACAACGTTTGGCACAACACATACAAAAGAAATGAACCAACAAGAACGCAAGCAACACAAACACTGAAAAACCAACGCGACGCAATGGTGTCAGCCTTTACTACAATGCTTGACAACAACAAACCGCCAGAACCACCGCCAAAGAAACCACCAGACGAGCAGGACAGCGACGAAGAAGAAAAGAAGTTCAAATTGACAAAAATGATAGAAATAATGCTACACAACGGCGCTACAGTAGCAGATATAATATTAAACTTATCACATAGCGCAATTGTAACAACAATAAATATCGCAGATTTAGTTAATCAAATAACAGCAGGAAATGCACAAAGTAGCAGTAGTTCTTCTAATGAAGCTATTAGTGTTCATAGTTCTCCACCTATTACTGTTCATAGTTCTTCATCTGAAAGTCCAACAGAAATACCAGCACCAACTGAAGACGAAGAAGAAGACGGAGAATAAAAATAAAAAGATAATTTTGAAAAATTTAATCTGAATAATATTACATGTAATGGGTGCTTTCCAAAGTAAAAATAATGAAAATAATAGTTTGGAAGACATTAAGATTTTAAGTATAGATGAAAAACCACGAGCAGACACTTTAATTATTTAAATCTCTTCAAGAATGTGTGGCACGAATTGAGAAACTAGAGAAAGAAAAATCTGACAAATTAATATATAAAGTACCTGTTCAATTATGTAATTATTCATTCTTTTAGATTAATAATATTAAAACAAATCAATATTATTAATTGCTTATACAACTTTTTTCACTTTTTGGCGTTGATGTTGAAACAGTGCTATTTGTTTCATCTATTAAATCTTCTTCATCAACAAGATTATTTTGAAATCTCAATAATTCCTCGTCCGTTGCCCTCCTTTTCAATGCCTTATAAAGTTTATGTATCCAAGAATTAGTACGATAAAATCCACCGCATATACATTGTTTTATAACCACATTAATATATTATATTAAATTATAATAATTGTATTTAGAATATGTTTATTCATCATTTGTAATTTGAAATGCCTGTTCAAATCTGATATGAAATATTTTGTTAATGTCTTTAGCATTCATATTCACGTAGTAGAAGAAACTATAAGGTGCGTCATTAACGGCTTGATGATACATATCTAATAATTGCTGTTTATCAACAATGGCACTATGTTCTTCAATAAAACTCATTAATTCACTGGCATTGTTCAACCTAAAAATATATAATGAACTGGCATTTAAACGAATGATAGGCGCCAAAACATTATATTTTTGTGTTGAACAAATTACACTTACTGCGTCGTGCCTGCCTCTTGTAAAAAGCCTGTGTAACAATTTACTATATCTAACAAATGGTTGATCGTCTGCGTGGTCATCTATAACGATTAATTTTGAATGCAGTTTCTTTATCTTTTTAGACTTCATATAACTAATAATGTTCTTCTGTCTTTCGATTACATTTTCTAAATCTGCTGGATTGTAATTATCAAAATAAATTTGTTCTTTTTCATCATCCACGTGCAATTCATCCCTGATATATACTTGTTTAACTTCTGTAAATGTAGGGTCGTTATGGACGCTGGGTGAAAATATAAATATTCTTGCAAATGAATTTCTATAAACATTAAAAATAAGGTTCTGAACTAAAACTGTTTTGCCTCCTGACGATGAAGCAACTATAATACTTCTAAATGGTAATTTTGGCACGTGCTCATATCTAGATTGTTTGAATTCATATTCAGTTATGTTTGTTGGTTTTCTTATTGGAACATCTGTCATAGTTGATATTAAAGATATATAGAAAATTATATTTAAAAATTAACTTGTAATTAATATTAAATGGAACATCTTTATGATATGAGTGGTGGTGAATAACATAATGGAACAGGCTTTCCATTGCTTCAATCAATAAGCATTGAAGATAATTAGTTTTGTGTCTCGCTCGCGTGTGCAATGAAAACCCCAAGTGCTGTGCCCCAAGTGCTGTGCCCCGAGTATTCTAATAATAAGATTAATCTAAAATAATTTATCTTATTATTTAATATGAAAAGGAGTTATACAGATTAAATTAATATAATAGATGAAGTGGAGAATATACAACAAATAATAACTGACAATAAAATTAAGAAAATGCTGCTATTATTCATTAGAAATAATTAAGCTAGGAATACAATATATCAAAAATAAAAATGCAAATATTAATATAAATGGGAAAAAAAGAAAAATAGTAAAGGCAAAGAAAGACCAATGCCAGATATTGAAGCACGGAAAGAAACAGCAGAAAGTGTTAAATCACTGGGCGAAAGTAAGGCTATAAAATGTGATAAATGTAATCACGTAATGAATTTTAAAAACGAATTGACAGTAGATAAGAAAGGCGGAGTGAAGGTTAGTTGTATTCCTTGTACGTTTTCTTGTAAAAGCTCAGATAAAGATTTAAATATTGAAAAGAAAAAACAGGTGTTGAAACTAATTAACATTTGATTAATGTTAGTTTTAACAGGGACATAAGTTAGTATTTAAAGAGTAGATTTAACATAATTGCACTTTATCAAGTTAGTACTTAAAGAGTATATTTAACATAATTGCACTTTATAAATATATAATTCAATAAAAAATTATCTAAATAAATATATAGCAATGTCTGAAAATGAAAATTATACTATTAATGATTTAATGAAGAAGATAAAATTAGTTGGTAAAAATGTCAAAACCTTAAATGATATGATTAAATCCATTGATGAAAAACTTAAACCAGTTGAACGCGAACAACAAAGCACTGAAGAGAAGGAGAATATTGAGAAAATACTTGAAAAGAAAGGCATAGGCAGACCTACCGGCAGTTATGAAACAAAACAGAAGAAATACTGTGAAATGTTGAATAGTAATAAAATCAAACAACCAAAGCAACACACATTAGAGTTTTATAAAATTACAAAAAATGATGATGGAGTATATGTATTATTTGAATAATTAATATCTAAGTAATTCTAATAATATGAATTTAATAGAATTATTTAGCAAGAAGACCTATGTAAAATTCCTAGTAGTTTGATACTTGAAATTTTGATGAGTTTGACCGATTAGGGATTTGGGTTTGGGGTTGGGCTTGAAACTTGAAATTGCTAGGTTCATCCAACGACAACACAGTAAAAAATATGAATTCTAAAAACTTGAAAATGATAGATGATGTAGGCAATATCCATAGTTTAGAACATAAATAAAACATCAAACATCTAATGGATTTTGGGGTGTTGGCTACAAGTCGTTCGTCCAGCAACAAAAAAATAAAATGTGTCTGCGGTGCAAGGCATGTGTCCCAGATTTTCGGAGCATATGTCCCAGATTTTCGGAGCATATGTCCCAGATTGTCGGAGCATATGTCCCAGATTTTCGGAGCATGTACCAGATTTTCGGAGCATGTGACCCAGATTTTCGGAGCATGTGCCCATGCTGTTGTGAGCATATGCCCATGCTACTTTAAGCATTTCCTACTGCTAGATTGGACACTTCCACCAAAAGAAGTCTAGGGCAGTTGTTGTGGAAGTTTAGGGCAGTTGCTGTGGAAGTTTAGGGCAGTTGCTGTGGAAGTTTAGGGCAGTTGCTGTGGAAGTTTAGGGCAGTTGCTGTGGAAGTTTAGGGCAGTTGCTGTGGAAGTTCAGGGCAGTTGCTGTGGAAGTTTAGGGCAGTTGCTGTGGAAGTTCAGGCATCACACCCCTAAAATCCTACAAGGGACACCACGCCTAAAAAAATATTTGATGAAACTGATGAAACGAAGGAGGAGAGTGATGTTGTTGCTGTTCTATGTTTTGTCCGAGAAATGGACAAATCGTTTTTAGACAGTTTGATATTTTTTTGATGACAAATATGGTTTGCAATATATTTTGCAAAATTTATTTTTTTTGAAATGGATGAGGTGATTATTAAAAAAAAAAAAAAAAAAAAAAAAAAAAAAAAAAAAAAAAAAAAAAAAAAAAAAAAAAAAAAACGAATAAGGGTAGAAGATGGAAGATGAAAAAAGTTGTAGGGTGGTGTGTATGGATGAAACAAACTTATTTGTAGGCGTGGCCCTCGACTACTTGTTCGAGAGGAGTTCGTTTTGAATACACATCACTTTGGGACGCCTCCCAAGGCGGCTTGCAACAGAATCCACAGCGACCCCATCTGCTCTTCCAAGTTGCTGGTGACCTGCTGCCGCCTCCACCTCGGCATCCTCTAGCCTCAAGAAAAGCTCCGCTTCTTTAAACAAAAGCCAAAGCTCAAGAGACTTTCTGAGGCGACGGTCCATCTTGGCCATCTTGGACAGGATGCCTAAAGGACCAGCGCCAGAACCAATGTTCAACTCCTTCTTAGGATCAGTTTGAGTCTGGAATCGCCTGGACGCTTATCAAAACACAGACAGTTTCCCAAAGCCAGAGGCTCCCTCACATGGTGTCAAAGGCAACGAAGGTCAACCGACCATTGGTGGCGAGTCTCTAATTTGCGAAATCCCCATTTGCACCTATAGCTGGGCCGAAAGAAATCGCCGAAACACGCGGCCCAAGTGGAGGCCAAGCAGCACCACCTCCGCATCGTCAGGCACCAGCGCTGATGTCGCCGACCTCCTGGCACCGCCGTTCGCTGAGGAGCTTCCTTCTCTTTACCGTTGTCCTTTGTTTGTGTTCCTCACTTCTTCTACCCGATTTGAGATTTGTTTCAAACTCCTCTGGTTTGAACTACAGGATCCAACAAACACTCTCTGGTCCCGACATATGATCAGACTCAACCTGGGTGCTCCCAAAACTTGAAGCCAGTGTGCCAATTTGGTTGTGCAACAGCTTTCTGACAAGCAGCTCTGAGAGTAGCTTTGACGGGCCAAAACAACTCGGCACATGATGCGGCGGCAGTATTGCTAGGCCAGGGTCTAGATGGCAACCCCTCGCGACACAAGACTGCCAATTACAAGAAAACTCAAGCGAAACTGCTTGTTCCTCACTCTTGAGCCAGATCATTTTAATAGAACTGCACTCCCGTCATTCACCCTGGTCAACCAAAAATTCCGCGAGTCGTTCCAAAGCTTCCACCACGTTGTGTTGGTCATTTGGATGTCTGTTTGGAGGACTCTCCTTTTTGGGCTTGTAACCCACAAGGAGAGGGTGGACCACACATCTGGGCCCATCTGCCAACCCAAGCCCCGTCGCCGGCAAGCCTGCAGCGCTCCGGCCTCCGTGGCCCGGAAACGAAGGTGCCTTAAAGCCGAGGCCCCCGCTTGCGCCATCCCACAGTGCGGAGCCTGTTGTGCTTGGCCCTGTAAGTTACATTTCTTGGACCCTGTAAGTTCTAAGTCACTGAGTGTTGCGCGGAAATCGCAATTGCATTCCCCTGGCTTGACAAAATCTGCCCCCTGAGGGCTCCTGTTCCTCAAACCTTCTTAGCAAAAAACCAACCTGTGTTTATGTTCCTGAAGCAGTGGAGAGAGGAAAACATATTCTCCCTTCCATGGAACTTTCGGCCCGCCACATGACATATCCAAGTCACTTGGCGCCCAGCTGAAGCTGGCAAGCCTCGCGCACTGAGGGCCACCAGCCGGTCCCACGACCCCTCACGATACCAACAACGCTTCCACTGCGCGCCACTCGACTCTAAACTTCGAACGTGCGGGCGAAACCTTGCGTGCGGGACGACGATGACCCTCTCGTTTCAGCTTCCAGCTTCCCGGCCGAGGCACAGAAAGCCGGCGGCCAGGTACTGGGCGGCCCGCGCCTGCAGGCGACTTGGCATAAGCCAACGCTCCCTCCACATGTTGAATGGTCTCTAGCAATTGGGGATCCGGCACCAAGAGCTTGTTTTCTGCTGCTTCCCTTTCAGAACTAATCGTCGTTGACCTGGTTGCGTCCCTATTTCATTGCTCTGAACAATGGCATCAAACAATAAGCCTGCTCTTTCACTGAACTCCCAAAACATGACGAAGTCACGTTCCTCGCCGCCAAACTGGAAACAACTTCAGCCATGATTCTCATCTTTTTTGAACCCACAAATCATGCCATGAATTTTGCATCCGGCGATGAGACGCGCATCCGGTGACACAGCCTGAGCATGTCAGGCCACCCCCCCTCCCGAAAGGCCTTCCGGTGAGCCATCTCGCCATGAGCCAAGGAATCCGCCCGAGCGTCGCCCCGCTGTCACTCTTTGCTCTGCTTGAGCTGCGGTTTCTTGGAGTCCTTGCTCCCTGATCTGATAGCTTCGAAGAAACTTCCGGAGTACAGTCAGGAACATCTGGCAGCATTTTCTGTCCAACTTGCTGACTCAGTATTGCTGCCTCACTCCATAACTGCCAAGCCAAAACAAACATCCTGCGGGATTGTCTCCGTGCTTCCACATCATCGACACACCTTCACACACCAAGCTTCTCATCCTACTAAAATACCTCCCATAGGGTAGCTAACGAGTGGACTGAAAACGTTTGCCCGCAGCGTGCCTCCTCGCCCTCTGCCGGCCTCGGAGTGTTGGGGCGCCCCCACCGCGCTTCGATTCCCCGGCGGGTGTCAAGTGTTGCTGAAAGTATCGGCACAAGGCGGGGGGGGGGAGTTGATTGCAGCTGCTTGTACTCCGCGCCGGAAGCACTCAAACAGCACCACCCAGCAAGTCCAAAAACCCTCGACGCGACTCGCGCGTAACGCGCCAGGCGGCCCTGCTCCCCGCCGGAATGCCCAGGGTCGAAGTGGTAAGAAAGCTCCGTCTCTGCAGGAGCCGCACCTGGCACTGAAACCAACAGCTGGACGGGGACCCGATGACCCTCAGCTTGAAATACGCCAACGCGGCGGTAGATTCAAAGAGCGCAAGCGGCGAGGCAACTCCAATCATGTATGCCAACACAAAGTCATCCGATCAGCGAAGAATGACACCTGTTAGCAATCTCCTTTGCGCTTGTCTGTGCCAAACAATGCACTGAGAACACTTTTCAGATCTTTGACCTCGTGAAGCGCCAACAAGGTACCAGCATGCAACCCCCTTGGCCTGACAAGCGTAAGTGCTCGGTCACGCTCTCTAGGATAAGGTTCACAAAGTTTCGAGCTGTGCAATTCATCTGCTCGACCTGAGCACCGGACTCAACCTCAAAAGCTGGGGCGGGAGCTAAGGCTAGTGGGGCTCGATGTTTACTGCCATATTAGCATAGACCCCGGATAGCATGAGAGGTTTGACCTATCTGGCTCATTTTCTGCAGTGCACTAACTCTGCACAGCAGCTCTTTGACAAGCACCACAACACGTTGCAAAACAAGCACCGCCAGCAGTTTAGGCACGCAAACGCACCCTGACCAGCACCCGCCACCCAGCACCCAGCACCCTTGCCAGTAAACACCAACATCACCACCCACCCCCACCCACCCACCCACCACCCACCCCCCACCCCACCCCACCCCACCCCACCCCACCCCACCCCACCCCACCCCACCCCACCCCACCCCACCCCACCCCACCCCACCCCACCCCACCCAACCCCACCCCACCCCACCCCACCCCACCCCACCCCACCCCACCCCACCCCACCCCACCCCACCCCACCCCACCCCACCCCACCCCACCCCACCCCACCCCACCCCACCCCACCCCACCCCACCCCACCCCACCCCACCCCACCCCACCCCACCCCACCCCACCCCACCCCACCCCGCCCCGGCGCAAAGTCGCCCTCGGCCGCCAAAAAAGGCCTCGGAGCCCCGCCGCCGGCCACGCACGCGGGGCCGTTCACCAAGGCACCCTACCCCAATAAGTTGCTAGCTGCAAGCGAGGGTCGGCCATGTCCCAAAAGTTGACCGCAGCAAGAAAAAGACAACTGTGGTCCTTCTACTGAAAATTGCCAGGAAGTAGGCAATGCAAATCGAACATCCAAACAATTGCAACTGTCCGATTCCCGCAGGGTGGTGCTGCGTCTGACCTGGCTGATCCTCACAATCCAAAGGTCGGCGCTCTCCCTCTTTCTCTCTGTCTCTCTCTCTCTCTCTCTCTCTCTCTCTCTCTCTCTCTCTGTCTCTCTCTCTCTCTCTGTCTTTCTCTCTCTCTCTCTCTCTTTCTCTCCTTCTCGCTCTCTCTTTCTCTCTCTCTCTCTCTCTCTCGCCCACCCCACCCCACACCCCACCCACCCACCCCACCCCACCCACCCGCCCGCCCCGCCCACCCACCCACCCCACCCACCCACCCACCCCCGCACCCACCCCCCGCACCCACCCACCCAACCCAACCCAACCCAACCCAACCCAACCCAACCCAACCCAACCCAACCCAACCCAACCCAACCCAACCCAACCCACCCAACCCAACCCAACCCAACCCAACCCAACCCAACCCAACCCAACCCCACCCACCCACCCACCCACCCACCCGCCCGCCCGCCCACCCGCCCACCCACCCACCCACCCACCCACCCACCCACCACCACAGAACCTTATGTACACCACCCCTATAGCTAAAGCTCTCGGGAAAAACCGCACTGCGCCTCATGCTTCTTGCTCCCCAAAATGAATGGATGTCTGCACTCCCTTCCCGCCCCTTGGCCGGCCGCAATCCCCATGCCGCCGCTCGCACGCCTGCAGGGCCAAACTCACATCCACAAGGGTCGCTGTTCCAATGGGACCTGCACTTTCTAGGGTGGTCTTGGGCGGAGGCGAGTTCAAGAACACAAGTAGTTCGAAAATGCAAGGAAAAGTGAGCATACCGTCTCCAAACCTCAAAGAGAGAACAAAATAATGTTCAGTCAGAGGTAATTCACGGTGAGTTCTGAAATGTGGCAAACGTGCATGACTTATCATACAACCCTGCAACAAGCATGCCACACCACGGCACATCAAATTGTTTGGATATGCGCTATCGAACAGCTGAGGAAAGCTCGTGCCCTGCAACAAGCAAAGCTGCTCTTTTTCAAGTCTCACTTGCAAGTTCGGCCAATAGAAGCAATGCACCCCGGCGTCCGGTGCTGCCATCGAGCCAGCCGGCACACCGCGAGGAATGGCACGAGCTTCCCGTTGGCTTCAGTTTGCTCGATTCTTTTTTGATGCAACTGCGGTCTTCTGACTGCGGTCTTCCCGATGCTTTCAGCTTGCCGAGGGGCTCTCCGAGCACCTCTATAGCTTCCCTACATCCATGCAGTGGGGCTGGCAGTCCAAAAAGGTGCTTCTCTGTTTTCTTTTTAAGCCGAGCTATCCTGCTGTATTCTGCTAACTTCTGAGCCAATCGGCAAAACAACATCCTTGGCAATGTTTTCTTCGCATATCAGCTCACATGTCGAGAAAAGCCCACTATGCAAAGGAAGGCGGACAAAAAGACGAGTGGCAGCACAATACGGCCCGCAACCAGGGGGCCGATCAATAAAAAGGCGTACATCTGCAGCAGTGTTGCGCGGCCTTCAAAATTCGAAGCCACCCCAAGCATGGCCAAAGGCCCTCATGACTCAATGCCCAAGGCTGCCATGGCCTGGAAGCGGCAGTGGCGGGAAGACGAAAGCATTCATGAACCCGGGGTGCGACAATGCAAAAGCAGGGAGAGGAAAGTGTTTAGTCGCATAGGACTGTCCGAGGGTGTCAGCATGGAAAAAACCATCGACCGTCCCTGGCGGTGCTTGCAGGAGCTTGATTCAAACCAAACACTCATGACCTGCTGCCTGGACCAAAAATAGACGCGTTGATTAAATAACCACGGTCGTTGAGTATCAAGTCTGCATCTTTGAAGCTTTTATGGTCCAATTGTCCAGAATACTGCAAGAGCAACACTCCATCCAGTCGCATCCTTCCCACAAGTTCCTACCAGAACGGGTCTGAGCCCTAGGCGCTGGGCAGGAAGAAGGCCACCCGCTGCATCACCTGAGGATTTTTTGGGCTCCAAATGAGTCCCCTCTACCCGTCGCATTGACCACGTTTTCCTGCTACACTGTGAGGGAGGATGCTTCGCCGATGTTTCCCTGCAAGTTCGATTTTGGGGGAGTTAATCACCAGCGGTACGTGGATCAGTTGATTACAGGACTTAACAGGGCGCCCGCACCCATTTACGGCTGGAATTGTTCTTACTACCCTCTCATTAGCGGCTCGCTTAAAGCGAAATGCTGGACACAGAGCAGGTTGAGATTGCTCTCGGCAGAAACACGCAGAAGTTCAAGGCCTAGAGAAGACCAACATCCTGGTCCATGCCGATTTGGTTCCACAGAGTCGCCTCTTCTAACTGATTGCCGTTCTCGCCCCCACATTTTCCATCACTCTGACTATTCGTCTGCGGAGAGCTGCTGTCAACCCAAAACGAAGCAGCGCACCCGCAATTCAGGGAAACACGACGTGCTGCATGTTGGCGTGCTCGCACAAGTACCAGATAGGGCACCGCAGCCACCAAAATGTCAGCCCAAGTACATTCATAAGACATGACACCCACAAATTCGGGAAACAGCACCTCAAAATGTTGGCCTTCACAAAACAGGGCGCCAATATTACAAGGAAACAGCGCCCGCAAAGAGTTAGTTTGCAAGACAAAACAGGGCACTCGCGATTCAGAAAAACACCTCCCGGCATTCACAAAACAGGGCACCCGCAACTTCGGGAGACACCACCCAAAAAAAAAATGCCTCTAAGAAGCTCTCCAAAAACCTGGTCGAAATCACATTGGTCAAGGGGGTATTTCTCAGCATGGCGGTCGTGAAAGAGCTTCCTTTGCACTTCTGCGCTGGGCCCACGCACCCCATCCTTGCGAGGGTCATAGGGCGTGTCCTTGGTCTGTATTGAGCGGAAGTGCCAGGTGCGTTTCAGAAGTGGAGAGCAAATCAGACATCAAACAGACGTACCCTTCCAGGGTACCTCTGATTTTGCCACTGCCAGTAGCCAGCAGTGCTTGATTCTGTGTGCCAAACAAAACGTACATGTCCTGCTTTTTGCCTGGTCCGAAGTGAAGAACTAGTCTTGCATCAAGCAAAATGTGTGGCATGGTAGATATCCGATAAACCCTGCTTTGCGCCAGTGTTATTTGATATGTCACCCTCACTATCAAGCATCCGACCATTGGGCCATGCCTCGTTGCTCAGACATAGTTTCCTTTGTCAGGGGCCCAATGAGCGAACCCCGCAAGCCTTAGAGGGGATCTCCAGCACAGTGGGGATGGTCTTGCCGCTGTGCTCGTACTCGTCCACAGCCCTTCGGATCCTCGGCTCCGGCGCAAACCGACCAAAAACCTGGAAGAATTGCTCTCATTGCACACCCCACATTCTGACCATAGGTTGCTTGCGGATTCTTTGTAGGTAGTTGCTCAAGGAAATTGTGCAACTGCCTTCCCTCCTCTCTCTGGCAATTTGCTTGCTGTGATTTCATAGAGCTCGGATTTCTGCAGCGAACCAAAACCAAGCGGGCGCACATCTCAGCGCAGTCTTGCGTGATCAGGATCATGGAGATGTCTTTGCGCCTCGGGTCAATTGAGGCCGTCTGATCATGGATGATCTTGTACAGAACCAACAACCAGCACATCACCCCAATTCGGCAGCCGTTCCGCTTGCGCCAACCCAGCTCAGAGCCGTACCCCGTGAGCTCGTGGAAGTGGTCCTCAATGTCCTTTAGGCGAAAGAACATCCGCGATATGAAGATCTGTCTCTCTCCATTTGATCTATCTATCATCTATCTACTTGCAAAAGCGCTGTGCCTGCCACGAAATCTGTACTTTATTTTGCGCCTGATTCGAAATCTGCACTTGACCTTGCCTGCCAAATGCTGCGCCTGCCATGAATCTGCACCTCAGGTTGCCACGCGATTTGCACCTCCGAAACAGTCTGCGCGGCCTTGCCATTAGGGAACTTTCCGAGAACGTGGCGAGACCGTGACGAGACCGTGGCAAAATCCTTTGCCTGCAGATTCATGTACTTGCACGAGGATTCACGTTCGACCACGAATTTGAAGGATCCCACTGAACCTTGTACGCATCGGCACTGCCGGTCGCATGAGATGAGCCTGTTATGCTGTCATGAGATGCACCTTGAGGCCTCGAAGAAGAAAAAGGAAAGAAAGAACGAAAGAAAGAAAGAAAGAAAGAAAGAAAGAAAGAAAGAAAGAAAGAGAGAGAATCAAAGCGAGAAGAAAGTTGCATGTGGCGGCAGTCCTTGATGTGGACCTTGGAGTCTACCACCAGGAAGTTCTTCTTCCCTTGCAAGCAATAGCATTGCCAAGTGCAATGTCACATGACTGCCTTAGAAAGAAAGCCTTTCAGGGTCAACAACAGCAGCACAACCACCAGCACAACCACAAGCAGCAGCACCACAACCGCCGCCAATTTCCAGCATGACAAGCACTGTCACATTGACATTGCTTACACGCATGATTCAACACAAGCTCGAAATGCAACATGCAACATCATTATGCAGCAAAAAGTAATCCCTGATTGTTTCACAAGGATCCTGAAGACATCCGATGTCGTACAATGATGCCATCCACGCAGCCTTGACCATCCACGTGACCTACTCCTGCCAGCAGCATTCCGGTGACCTGCCAGCACTGCCGATATGTGCACTGCTGATCTCAAACGCCAGGTGGAAATGTATTGATTAATTATGACTAACGTGTGTGGTTTGTAAAACAGGGAACTCCTCCAATAAAGCTCAATTCCCCCGTGTCAAAACAAACAAGCATGGGTTTCATTCTCATGAAACCGGACATGCTCTGCCAAAACGCGCGATACCACGTCTCTGTCAGTGCTGCAGTGAAGAGTCCGGGGTCATGAGCACAGCACTTCTGATAGAAACTCAATCGGCCATGCTGATCCTCCGTTGAAAACACGCCAGGACATGTGTTGACAGTTGGGATTTGTCCCCTGTTTAGCTGATGTTTTGTGTCAAGGTGTAATCAATATGTTTTACGCCCAATGCAACAGATACTGCTAGCTGCTCTCATCAGAGTCATCCCGCCCAATAGCGGCTGCGCACCGTATCCTCATCCCCGATGAGGCCGATCTTCATGTCAGTCCTGCTACAAATGATGAAGCAAAACGAGCTAAGATGCAGCCATCTATCCCTTTGCCTTGCACCGCTGTTTGTTAAACTGACCTCGCTGGGTCTTTTTGGCCCGAGAGCCAAGTCTAAGTTCGGCACTGGGTCAAGAATTTGCTCTTCACCATGGCTCCTGCGCCTGGCAGCACAACAGCACCAAACGCACCTCCATTTTATATTATATTGGGCGTGTACAATCACACGGCATCACCTCAAACAAACCTCAACATGCAGCTAGAAAAGTCAACGCAACATGCATCATTCAACGCCTGCGGTTCAACACCCAGCGCCGTGGTTCAATTGCGGTGCTGGAGCCCAAAATCCAAGCATGAAACTACATGCTGGGGTGTCATCGCAACACACATCATCCACTGCCCCAAAAAACTGTGCATCCACATTGCAAACTACCGACTGAAACAGGTTGGGTTCCATTTCCACCGCAAAATATCACAAAATTCCATAGAAATGATCAGCAACGATATTAGCGCCGCAAACATAAACGTAGCACCCAAAGGAAAGGGGGTCATCCGCCCCCGCAGTTGAATGCTTGCCCATCACTTAAAGTGTGACACCGTTTTTCTGCGGAGTCATCTTCGCCCACTCAAGAGCAACTGAGCAGCACCTTGATGCCAGCACATGCAAATTTGGAGTCACAAGGAGCGAGCGACAGCGACGATCACCCCAATGTGCCAGTTGTCGAGAGATCTCTTTGCGGGCTGTCCATGACTCGGACGAAGCTCCGGCTCCAAAGTTCACGGCGCAAGCGACGCCCAACAAAATCACAGCCCCCGATATTTTCTAACAAACGGTTGGCAAGGGAAGTGATGGGTTGGTGTTTTTTTGCGCCCAACGCCTTTGGACCGGTCATTGATGACAACGCAAGCTCAAAAAGCGCAATCACAAAAAACCTGTGAACCCTGACTTAGCCTGCAAACGGCAGACAGCCAAGAAACGTGAATCGGCAAAACACAGAAGCAAGAACCCCACCAAGAAGCAAATCGAGCGAAAATTGGTGACAAAGTCCACCTACTCGAATGTACAATCCGCAAGCTGCTAAAACCGCTCGCAAGGAATGTCAGTCAGGAAGAGCGGCTCACCTTGCGTTTCCGGCTTGCACGCGCATCCACTCGCAATTTGTTGGGATCCTTGCGGCCAATCGCAATCACGCAGGTCCGCTGTCTCAGCGCAAAAAAAAATATGAAAAAGAAGCCGAGAGAGGATGCTCGAACCAAAACCAAAACAGCGCAACAACAAACATCACAAAAACAACAACAAAGTTAGAATCCAGTTCACTGCTTCAATCCAAATGAAGGAACCTGCAAACCCCCCAAAAAATGGAAAGCAACCAAAGCTGACGGCCGCGCTCCTTTTTTGTCAGGCGTTGCTCAGAGGTACAGGCTCAGGGGTGCAAAGGAGTTGACAATGCGTGACACTATCTGCAGTAAGCAAGTCATGTTGTGCAAGGCGTGCCACCGGACTAGCCGGAGCAGGTGCTGCGCGGTACCTAAGGCACCGCCACGCGCTGGCCTCTGGGGCACCAGCTGCTGCTGGGCCCTGGAAAGAGGGCGCAAAAAAGAGGGTTATGCCCTAAAGCATGACCCTTAGGTGGCTTGAAGCAGGAAAACGGCCACTGCGTCCGAAGATTCAATCAAGATTAAAACATAAGGGAAAAAGAAAACCCTAAACGTTAGAATCTTGATCACTGCTTCAACCCGTAAGGGAACATGCAACAAGAGACAAAAGAGAACGACCGACAAAGGGTGCGCTTGTTTTTTTTCTTCATAAGGCGCTGCTTGGAAGTTAAGGCTCGGGGGTGCAGGGGGAAACACAGTGCGTGTCCTTTCCCCGTGTCTGCACCCCCCTGCGGAGCCTTCTCAAATGCCCCCACTTCAGGGTTCCAAGCAAACGGCCTAAACTATTGCCCCCTCTTCAGAGCGTTTGCGATGCACTTTTATGCTCCGGCCGCCACGGGGCGTCGGGCGGATGCAATGACAGCACGGATTTGTGGGGCCAGAAATCATGCGGGCGAAATCGAAAGCAAGCATGCGGCTTGCTGTCGAACGCGGAAGTATTTCCGCGGCTAAGCTGATCAGCCCACACGTTGCGCTCGCCTGGGATGTGTGAGGCTAGCACTGACCATTTGCGCCTGTAAGCCCATGCTGCGACGAGTTGCACAAAAATTTGCAGAGGCCATGCTGTAGTGAACAGTTTCGGCCTCGGACGCAGTATTATCCGTACCAGAAGGCATGCAGAGGCCGTGCGCTGCTCGGCCTTCGGTAGCCCAAGCGATGCGCATGAGTGCAAGCTGGGCCAAGGTTTCAAAGCAAGCTATATAGCGTTGGGCCTCTTTGGTGACGCATGGCCACTGCTGTTGGACATTGTGGAAGTCCCACATTTCTGCGGCTGCTTTGCATGCCAGGATTGGCTTGCTTTGCAACAGGCATGAAAAGCCGCTGCCGAGAGCGCGTGGGGTGGACTTGCCGGCCACGCCGAGCAGGGTGGCGCCGCTCAGGTTCGCCTCGGCCATGGCGTGGAGCGGGTCCTGCAGCTCGAAGATCTGCACCATCAGCAGCGGGGTCTGTCACGCGCACCCACACTGCTTTGTGACTGGGCACTACACTAGGCAAGTCCGATGGGCTGCGCACGGGGGTTTGTTGGTATTCTAATACCTTTGAACCCAGTGGCATGAAAATGCCGTGCACGGGCATGGCCTTGGCGTTTAGTGCTGAGAGGAAAGCAGGCCACAGGCGTGCGTTTACGGAGATCATGCAGCCTGGTGGTGAATGCAGATCTGCACACAAAGGCGCAAGCCAAGATCTGAATTCTGGGATCAGGCTGGTGGCCCAAATGAGCAGCCCCAGGGCATGCAGCTGCTCCTTCAGTTTCAGAGATTTATGCGGCGTGAGTTCAATGGTTTCCAGGAGGAAATTAATCGACCATCCGCGCCAGGTCAAGCAGTTCTGGAATTGCACTTTTTCCCAGGCAAATTGGCGCACTGGTGGCTGCAAAGAAAATGACTATTAGAGCAAGTTGTTGGTGCGCGTCCGGGCAGCGCAACGAACAACCAAGCTTTGTGCGGGTGTGCTGATAACACCCCGTGTAGCAGCCTGAGTAAGAATGCTCCAGTACGTTGCCACCAGTGTGGGCTCCGAAGTGGCACGCTCGGTAATGGTACAGAGTGTCTGCAAAACGGAAGAGTAACAAGCCGTGTTTGCTCGGGCGCACCTGAGTTTGCTCGCGCGCAGCTTTAAAGTCAAAGCTAGCGCCTGTGAAGGAGGCACGCGTGTCTCCTGGCATGAGTGCGAGGCGAACATCGGATGCCATTGGCAAACTGACTCGCTCCGGGATACTGCAGTTGGGGTTCACCCCGCGCACGGTGCTGTCTAGCACCAGGCGTGGTTCTTTTCCTTCTGCACGCACGACGTTGAGTTTACCCACTGCAATGCCCTTGCGCCAATGCTGTCGGGCTTGCTCGACGGACATGTCCGTGCGGACCACCCACCCGTTGGAAATTTCTTTTTCTAACAGAGCGGGTGAGGCAAGTCGTCTGCGTTTTCTTTGGGCGGCCACTGCATGCCTCTGAGAGTGCACCTGCGGGGGCCCCCCCTCTCCTCCTCGACTGCGATCACCTTCTTGGAGTTGCAGCTGACAAGCCTGCCGGCGCACTCCGTCAGGAGAGGGAACTTGAAGTCCTGAAGGTTCTCCTTAAGGATCAAGAGGCGCTTGATCAGGTCAGCACGGCGCAGTGTTGACACCTTGGCACTTGTGAGGAGGGTGGCTGCTTCTGCCCGGGCCAAGCGCTCAGACAGCACGTGCGTCTCTTTGCACTTGCGCTGCGAGAGGGTCTCCAAGACCTTGCGCCCCTGAGCAGGCGCTGGGCGCAAGTCTCTGGCGCGTCGGCTTGGATGTGGGCCAGAATTTTTGGGGTCAGCTGTTGTTCCGGATGGGTGGTGTGAGGCACTGAGTGGTCTGCTATGGGGCGCATGCCCGCCCCGTCACAAACCTTGAGTCTGGTGGGGCGCAGTGTCGCGATGGAAGGTTTGCGAAGCTCGCGTACCATCGGGTCGCGTCTGCCTTACGCACAATGCTTGACCACGTTTGCGGCTAGGCTCGTGGGGTATTCTGCCGTTAAGGTGCTCAGGAATTGACCTGAGCTGTTGCGCACTCCTGCAACGCTAGCGTGCCTAGTTGGGCGATTGCAGCGGGCTGCGACACGCTGGGCGCATGGGTTGTTACACGCGAAGCACCACGATTTTGCGAAAGGCATGTTGCGCTGGCATGCGTCCACCTACGCCAAGCGCCCTTGAAAAGTTTTGAGGCGCTGAAAATTTTCTGGTTCGAGCCATGCCATGCTGGAAGGCGGTTGTTCAAACACTGCCATGCCGCCTTGAGCGGCTACAGCTTTGAAAAGTTCCCGGCTTCTCCTATGGGTTTCCCGGCTTTGCGCTACGCGTGATTTTTCCTCGACGGACAGGCGCGGCACTCCCCCTGGGCGGAGTTTCAGCCTGCTATACTCCTTACACGGCGGAGCCAGGTACTGAGGCTACTACTCCTGACCAGGATGTGCGCATTAGCAGCTCGAAACATGTCCAGGATCTCATGCTCTGGGTTTGCGTCAAGCCTCGAAGCGTGAAAGGCCTTGCCTGTCTGCGGCTGCTGAGATGGGTGCATGTACGCCTGCGAAAACATCCAAGAGAAAGCCTCCCTTGGGGTGCGTAGACACTTGCTCGCCGTCCGTTCGAGCAGTGCCAGCGTGCCTGCTGCATGCTTGGCCGGGAGGTCGTGCTTCAATGCCGCTGGCAGAGGCTGGGCCAGTTTGCATGCGGGCGGATGCGTGAAGCGGCAAGGGTGGACCGTGCGGGAGCGCTCTGTCCGGAGGAGCAGCCGGGACAGCCTCCGGACTGCGTCACGTGCGATTGGGGGGATGCTGGGAGGCGCCGTGCGCCTGCTGGCAGCCGTTAATAGCGCAAACATGCGCAAACTGGCAGTTCCGTGCGGCAGATTTGTTTGCCTTGCGGTGTTTTCCCTTTCCTTTTCCTTTCCCCTTTTTGCGGGGCGGCTCGGCTTTGTGCGGCTTAGGAGCTGCGCGTTTAGCCGGTCGCGTTGGGTTACGCTGTCGCTTGGTGAGCGGCGGTGCCGCAGGCTGTCTGCTGGTCTTCGGGCGCAGCATGAGCAGCGAGTGTATCTCCATGCAGCCAGGGCTCATGGAACGCATCGTCCGTGGACCATTTGCGCAGTAGTTCGATGATCTGCATGCAGGAGCTCCGATGTTGTGACTGTGCGGAGTGAAAGAGCTGGGTCTGGCTGAGTCAGGC